CCGTCCTCGAATTTTTATTCACTCCGTTACGACTGGTATATGCCTTAGCAAGTATTCATAGACAATGGTGTTAACCAATGACGCAACTCAGATCAATCAGACCCAAATCAGACACCTCAGACCAATCACACCAACCAGCATCACATTTCAAGGGGGGAATTTGCCAAAAATAATGCGTTACTTTAAATGCATTCATCACCTCTTGTATCACGCAAATTGTATGATAAGATAACCATAGAAACAACATCGTAGAATTGAGGAAGGACAGGCATAATTGTATCTCTTGAAATAAAACATATGTATTTGATCTTGCCGTTGACTCCATGTCGACACCAACAAGGTCAAAATGACAAAATTATCAACTCACGTTACACAAAATTGTAACGGAGTTCGATGTAGTAGGCCCTTATTCAAAGGTTACAAAAAAGTAAAAAAGTAAAAAAGTGTGAATAAACTTTGTGTTTCAGGGCCACGGTGTTACAAATATTGAAAAATTATTCATAAATAGCAAAGGGAATGATAAAATATACAGTCATTATTTATAAACTGCAATTTGCCCCTCAACCCTCAGTAATCACTAACAAATGCCATTAGTTCCGGCAGTGGCTAGAGGTACGTAAGCCGGCGTACGTGAAGCGGCCCTTTTTGCGTTAGGGTTAGGCGTTCAGGATTTGGCGGTAGGGTTAGGGTTAGCGTTGTAGGTAAGTGGTAGGTTAAGGGTGGTACGGGTTTGGTCTAGCTTCATGTCTAGAACTGCTCAATCGGTGAATTTATTGTCAAAGGCGATTATTGATCGAAATCTGGCGCGCTACCGCCGCCTCATGGATTGTCGGTCGTTAAGTATGAGAAAGCGAATGGACGTCCGCAGCGTACCCGTAGCTCGACCGAACATGTTAAACTTGAGTTAAGATACGGGCTTCACCGTACCGTAGCACTTGCCTTACAAGTTTACCTGTAGCCACACTTTACAGAAAGTCCGCTGTAGTAGAATGACGCCAGTCCATTCCACTACGTAATGTGACGCAAAAATATCCGACATAGTCTATAGACTTAGTTATATGCTGACAGAGAGACCTTACAATTGTCCGAGAGAACATATGGCTTAGTGCTAAAATTTGTAACACAAGGACCTTTATCCTTATTCAAGAGAGGTAGGTTATGGACAGATAGTTACGTAAAACGCGCGCGCACACACATCAAGTGATTAATAACGATATATCTGCGCGGTGAAATCTCAAAGAATGAATTTGAAATCTCAAAGTTTCTTGTCCATCTTCAACGTGCAGACATTTGACTCGTATGAATGATGAAATGATGTCCGTGTGCTACGTGCATATCACTCGAGCCTGCGTGCGTATATCATTCGTAGAGCACTTTGATTTTCCCCATCTATATCCATCTATTTGCCAACGTCGCAACAATATAATAAAATATAATTCAAAGCCCAACGTTATTGACCAAATCTTTTTTTGCATCAATTCATTAGTCCATTAGCTCTTTCGTTGCTGCTGGTGAATTCCATATCATGCATTCACTTTAGCACGGTGTCCCAGGAGCAAAAGACCATTCAATACGATACGATCCGTACAAGGCGAGGCGCGGTGTGTCGAATTGGAGAATAATTGCAGTCATCGTGACAGCGTCACTGTTAAATGTTTGTCAGAGTCCGCCGACAGGAAGGATAGGCGACACGTCCGCAAACCTGCCGGAGCACTGATGTATGACAAATAACTGATGTATGAATCCGCGCTCGCTTGCTGGCCGCCGATACGGAACCGCGCGTAGAGAAATTGGAAGATATATGTAACGTTTCACCAGACGCTGACCCCCGTTATCTATGAGCAGCGGATACTATAGTTACTACGAAATGCACGAGTTGCAAATGATGTCCGTGTTCAGTTTTCGCTATTGTGCGTCACGAATGAAGGCTACCGGTGTATGGTGCGTGCCTCCATTTTCATTTATTTTTAATGCTTGCCCGTTTCGGAGGTTAACCATGGTGACACAATAGGAACGACGTGAAAAAAGCACGTGATTTGGACGTTTGTCCTTATCGTCGTAGAGATGCTTGTACGTAGTATGATACATATTGTCGATTGATGACGATTTGGATGTTCGCTGGTAACTAGACCAACATGCACTAATTTTAATACGTTTTCGACTAAAACAGTGACAACAACATTTTCATTTACTTTCTTGTGATGCGAGGTCTGATCTATTTGCCTTCCGCTGTTAACTCCGTTACGACTGTATTATGCTGCAATCTATTCATAGACAATGGTGTTAACCAATGACCAATCAGATCCAATCAGACCAAATCAGACCACTCAGACCAATCACACCAACCAGCATCACATTTCAAGGGGGGAATTTGCCAAAAATAAATGCGTACTTAAATGCATTCATCACCTCTGTTACGCAAATTGTATGATAAGTAACCATAGAAACCAAACATCGTAAATTGAGGAAGACAGGCATATTGATCTCTTGAATAAAACATATTATTTGCATCTTGCCCTTGCTCCATGTCGAACCAACAAGGTCAAACATGACAAAATTATCAACTCCGTTACATCAACTCCGTTACAAAATTGTAACGGAGTTGATGTATAGGCCCTTATAAAGGTATACAAAAAAGTAAAAAAGTAAAAAAAGTGTAATAAACTTTGTGGTTTCAGGGCCACGGTGTTACAAATATTGGAAAAATTTCATAAATATGCCAAAGGCAAAGGGATGATAAAAAAATACAGTCATTTAAAACTGCAATTTGCCCCCTAACCTCAGAATCACACAAATGCCATTTTCGCAGTGGCTAGAGGTACGGTAGCCGTCGGTCGTTGAAGCCCCTTTTTGGCGTTAGGGTTAGGGTTAGGATTAGGGTTAGGGTTAGGGTTAGGTTTAGGGTTATGGTTAGGTTTAGGGTTAGGGTTCTAGCTCATCTAAACTCTCAAATCGTGAATTTATTTCCAAAGGCGTTATTTCGAAATCTGGCGCTACCGCCGCCATCTTTGTCTCGTTAAGTATGAAAGCGAATGGACTCCCGTACCCGTAGCCTCGAGACATTAACTTGATTAAGATACGGCTACCGTACCCGTAGCCACTGCCTACAAGTTTACCTGGTAGCACAATTTTCAGAAATCCGCTGTAGTAGGAATACGCCAGTCCATCTCCAATACTGTGCTGCAAAAATAATCCACATATCTATAGACTATATATATGCGACAAGAACATTACATTGTCCAATCTGGCTAGTGCTAAATTTGTAACACACTTTAGTCTTATTCAAAGAGGTAGGTATTACAATATTATAAAAAGGTAGAACCTTGCTCGGTGTGGCTCCCATGGTTCACAATTTCGACTGCGCACTGCGCTGTTACTGCAAGTGGTGTTCGCTTGTTACGTGCAGTGGCGTCACCGGTCAGAGGATGCACCCGGCTATCTATATTATCAAGAGCAGATAAAGAAGGAAAAAGGCCTTCTTTATCTGCTCTTGATATTATTTCTATGCGTAGAACACACGCGAAGATTCTAGAATTAATCGCTGTGAAAATTGCTGTGAAATCGCTACGTCCACAGAAATGTGCAACTGCAACCCGTAGCGATTCTGGACGATCACCGTGCAGGGTTGTTATTTTTACTGTTGATAGCGCTCACACAGGCGAGACAAAAAATAACCCCGACAGAATTAAGTTATGCTGAGCGCAGCCACCATCTGTACACATTTATACTGCATGAACGAGCAATATATGTACCAAGGACTTTTGCTCCAGCTGCACAAAATCCCTATATGACCATGAAAGCCCCATGTGACAGGCGGCAAGACTCGCCACAGGGGATTGGTGTGGTGAATCTATGATCACGCATACGAGCCCTGCCAGAAATTGCGTTTATTGTTCTGTCTGGCTTCCCGTTACCCGCTGGCATGACGTAACGGAAGCAAAGATACACTGATCAAACCTATAATGAGCGCTGACTATTCTTTCATTCGTCTGGTATTATATCCTGAATTTTTGTGATCATGCAAGCACACGTGTTATAACTAAACTAAACTAAAAAATAAACTAAACAAAACTAAACAATAAAACTAACGTTAAAACTAAACAATAAACAAAAGTGCATGTTCATGGCCGTTTACGGTTATTCCCCTTCTACAAGAGCAGTAAGATTGCGCAGCTATTGGCGATAGCCTACTTTTCAGAATACTAGCTTAGTCACGGTTCCTAACGTCAGGGAATTCACATTCGCGCCTCCTGTTCTTCCGCGTATAAAAAACGAGTAAACAAATTTAAATGACAAATTTATAGTTACTTTAATTTTGAACTTTCACCGGGCGAGTAACGGATTGTGTTCTTACCCACCCACGTAGCCATGTAGCCACATGCTTATTGCTACATAGTACATAGTGCATATATAGTTTCATCATGAGTTCCTGAGATAGAGGGGAATCCCCTTTTCATCTTAAGGGGAATTCCCCTTCTTCGATTGCGTTAGCATGATGATTTGGCCTTATTTCGGATCTTTTCCGGATCCTGTTCCGCAGGGTATATATATACTCGGTAGTAAGTGTCAGGAGCTACAGACCGAACATAGGCCTACACGCTCGAGAGGAATATCGACGTCACAGTGTCCGCAATCTCTCCACCAAAATGGCGAAAGTGAGTATTATATATATTTATTTATTTATTTATTTAAAATGGCTTTTACAAAATTATTATTTGCTTCGGCAGACTTAGTGAATGTTGTCACAACTACCCGATTGTGTGTTGTTAGGGTTGAATTAGGACTATGGCGAAACTTAAGAATAGTATTACGATACTATATATAGTCACGATGAAGTTATGACGTTTCTTACAGCAGTTTGTTTAGGTTAGGACTAATGTTGAGTCAATAATCGACTTAAATATCTCATACTGTTAAAATCCACAACTTCTAACAATACATGTGTAGTCGCAACGTCGTACACTATTTTGTGTTTTGTTCACCAAACGTACTCTAATATATCCCTATGAGAGCCATTAACTTACATTCATTACAGTGAGGGGAAACACAAGGGACGCCAAATTGCGTCTAGTCTATATAACTATTATTTAGATTATTAGTTTTAGTAAATATCCATTATTCAGGTATCTATCGGAGAAGGACTTGCCTACAACTACTACACTGGCTACCTAAGTATGGTATTAACCAGTCTCGCTGAAAGGATCACTAGCAGTAAATTCGGCAAAAGCACGAAGAACAAGAAGCTGATTCTTCTAATCCCCGCTAACGGCGAAATTCCAGCAAATCTGCAGGAGGTTGATGGGAACGTACGGCCGGTTGGGAAATTGGATCCATTGGTGATAGACAGAGCTGGATGCAAGAGAAAGTACTCTAACAACGTTTAC